ATTTAAAGCCATGCTTTTCAAGATATTCGCTAAGTCGATTGTACCACATACGACCAGATTGCTTGAGACCATATAAAGATCTTTTGAGTTGTATAGCACACATGTCTCGAGGTACTGATTTTAATGCTTCTGGCATTTTGAATCCTTTAGGGATTTTCATGTAGATGTTATTCTCAAGTGTCCCATATAAGTATGCGGTGACAACATCCATAAGTTTCATCTGAAGTCCTTCTGAGATTGTGAGGCCGATTAAGAATCTAAGGGTTATCGCATCCACTACAAGGGAGTACGTTTCCTCATAATCAACTCCTGGGATTTGGGAAAACCCTAGTGCTACAAGTCATGCCTTATATCGCATAATCTCATTCTTTTCATTTCTTTTTATTGCAAACACCCATTTATAACCCACTGGTTTGACGTCTATGGGTGTTCGGACTACAAGTCCGAAAACATTTCGTTTGTGAAGTGAATCAAGTTCAGCGTTCACGGCCTCTTTCCATTTTGACCAATCATTTCTGTGCATGCACTCTTCTAGAGTTTTAGGTATGTAATCATTCCCATTTAGTACATCCATTGCTATAGCATATGCAAAAATTTCATCAACACGTGTTTCATGCCGGTTCCATATTGTACTATCTTGTACATAATTAATAGAGATCTCATTTTCATTTGGTACCGGTCTTTCTTCAGGAATATCATTTTCCTCTGGAAATGTATTAGTCACTTCTGGGACATTTACCTCTACAGGGGTATCTTTCATAACCTTCTCTATGGTTTCACCAACTGCACAATTTTGCTTCTTTCGTTTTCGTGGGTTCTTATCTTTGGAACCGATTGGTCTCCCACCCTTTCTTTGTATGGTAACGCTTCTGGGATTACTTCAATACGAGCAGGTGCATTAGATGCTGGTATATGTGACTTTGTCACTCTATTTGTATCTATGAATGCATCTGGTAATTCATTTGCTATGCGCTGCAAATGTATGATCTTTTGGACTTCAGAATCACATTGACCACTTCGGGGGTCGAGTATCGATAGTGATGATGCATTCCATACTACTTCTTGTGTTACCAGTCTTTTCTTCATTCTTGTCTCCCCCTAAGACTGGGAATACTGTCTCATTAAATTGACAGTCAGCATACCGTGCTGTAAACATATCTCCTATCAACGGTTCTAAATATTTAATGATAGACGCGGAGTTAAAACCATTATAAATGCCCAGTCTTCTCTGGGGTCCCATTTTGGTACGCTGTGGTGGCGGTATTGGGACGTAAACTGCGCAACCAAATATTTTTAAATGGGACAGATTTGGTTCTCTTCCAGAGACCAGTTGAAATGGGGAGTATTCTTGATCAGCAGTTGTTCTTAGTCGGATCAGTGCAGCAGCATGTAAAATAGCGTGCCCCCATGCCGAAGATGACAATTTACTTCTCATCAGAAGCGGTCTAGCAATTAACTGTAATCTTTTAATTAATGATTCAGCTAGACCATTTTGTGTATGAACATGAGCTACTGGATGTTCAACATTTATCCCAATTGACATGCAATAATCATCAAAAGCCTGGGATGTAAATTCTCCTGCATTATCCATGCGAATATTTTTAATTTGATTTTCTGGGAAATGCGCTCTTAATGAGATATGGTGGTTTTTGATTTTGGAGATGTTTTTCAAAATCCAGAGGATAAAGCTCCTAGCTTTTCTAAAATGTCCTCATTGGAAATAATCTGTAGGTATTCTCTACTATTTTCGGATGTGGTTTTGAGGTGGTAACCATTTTGTCTTATATCTTTGAAACTAAGTAAATTTCTTCTGGATTTACTTGAGTATAATGCATCATTTATAATTAATTTTGTACCCGATGGTAATATGATGCATGCTCTTCCGGAGCCTTTAATTAGGTCACTAGCACCCGAGATAGTACCAACAAGTATTTTGA